GAAAGAAAGAAAGAAAGAAAGAAAGAAAGAACCTCCTTTGCACAAGAAAGAAAGAAAGAAAGAAAGAAAGAAAGAAAGAAAGAAAGAACTTTTTGCTGCTAAGAAAGAAAGAAAGAAAGAAAGAAAGAAAGAAAGAAAGAAAGAAGTTTTTTGTGTAGAGAAAGAAAGAAAGAAAGAAAGAAAGAAAGAAAGAAAGAAAGAAACTAAATTCATTTAGAAAGAAAGAAAGAAAGAAAGAAAGAAAGAAAGAAAGAAAGAATATGATCATGTCCAGAAAGAAAGAAAGAAAGAAAGAAAGAAAGAAAGAAAGAAAGAAGGCTTTCTTTCTTAGAAAGAAAGAAAGAAAGAAAGAAAGAAAGAAAGAAAGAAAGAAGAGTGCAGCCATTAGAAAGAAAGAAAGAAAGAAAGAAAGAAAGAAAGAAAGAAAGAACAACTGTTTTGTAAGAAAGAAAGAAAGAAAGAAAGAAAGAAAGAAAGAAAGAAAGAATTTATTCGTCGTTAGAAAGAAAGAAAGAAAGAAAGAAAGAAAGAAAGAAAGAAAGAACCCAGGCTGGAGTAGAAAGAAAGAAAGAAAGAAAGAAAGAAAGAAAGAAAGAAAGAATCCAGCAATCCTCAGAAAGAAAGAAAGAAAGAAAGAAAGAAAGAAAGAAAGAAAGAACAAGCGTGGCTAAAGAAAGAAAGAAAGAAAGAAAGAAAGAAAGAAAGAAAGAAAGAAGCTGGTCTCAACCAGAAAGAAAGAAAGAAAGAAAGAAAGAAAGAAAGAAAGAAAGAAGGAATTACAGGCGAGAAAGAAAGAAAGAAAGAAAGAAAGAAAGAAAGAAAGAAAGAATACTATGTAGGACAGAAAGAAAGAAAGAAAGAAAGAAAGAAAGAAAGAAAGAAAGAAGTGGGAAGGGTGCAGAAAGAAAGAAAGAAAGAAAGAAAGAAAGAAAGAAAGAAAGAAGCATTCTGGAGCAAGAAAGAAAGAAAGAAAGAAAGAAAGAAAGAAAGAAAGAAAGAATCATGCTGCAAACAGAAAGAAAGAAAGAAAGAAAGAAAGAAAGAAAGAAAGAAAGAAAGAATATTACCAGAGAAAGAAAGAAAGAAAGAAAGAAAGAAAGAAAGAAAGAAAGAATGTCAATCTCAACAGAAAGAAAGAAAGAAAGAAAGAAAGAAAGAAAGAAAGAAAGAAAAAATTATCCTTAAGAAAGAAAGAAAGAAAGAAAGAAAGAAAGAAAGAAAGAAAGAAGATGCTGCTACTGAGAAAGAAAGAAAGAAAGAAAGAAAGAAAGAAAGAAAGAAAGAAATACAGACAGCATAGAAAGAAAGAAAGAAAGAAAGAAAGAAAGAAAGAAAGAAAGAACCTGCCCCTATAGAGAAAGAAAGAAAGAAAGAAAGAAAGAAAGAAAGAAAGAAAGAAATTATTAAATTCAAGAAAGAAAGAAAGAAAGAAAGAAAGAAAGAAAGAAAGAAAGAATGCTGCTTGGTGTAGAAAGAAAGAAAGAAAGAAAGAAAGAAAGAAAGAAAGAAAGAATCTAGATTTACCGAGAAAGAAAGAAAGAAAGAAAGAAAGAAAGAAAGAAAGAAAGAACCTTATGGTGACCAGAAAGAAAGAAAGAAAGAAAGAAAGAAAGAAAGAAAGAAAGAAACTCTCTTCTAGCAGAAAGAAAGAAAGAAAGAAAGAAAGAAAGAAAGAAAGAAAGAAAAGTTCCCAAATCAGAAAGAAAGAAAGAAAGAAAGAAAGAAAGAAAGAAAGAAAGAACTGACTTAATCTGAGAAAGAAAGAAAGAAAGAAAGAAAGAAAGAAAGAAAGAAAGAAAGGAGTTCTCCAAAGAAAGAAAGAAAGAAAGAAAGAAAGAAAGAAAGAAAGAAAGAAATAAGAAGTACACAGAAAGAAAGAAAGAAAGAAAGAAAGAAAGAAAGAAAGAAAGAAACTGACAGCCAACAGAAAGAAAGAAAGAAAGAAAGAAAGAAAGAAAGAAAGAAAGAACTATCAACAACTAAGAAAGAAAGAAAGAAAGAAAGAAAGAAAGAAAGAAAGAAAGAAGCCTGGCTAACATAGAAAGAAAGAAAGAAAGAAAGAAAGAAAGAAAGAAAGAAAGAACCCCACCCAGACTAGAAAGAAAGAAAGAAAGAAAGAAAGAAAGAAAGAAAGAAAGAAACCACCAAGGCTGAGAAAGAAAGAAAGAAAGAAAGAAAGAAAGAAAGAAAGAAAGAAGAGCTAGCACTTTAGAAAGAAAGAAAGAAAGAAAGAAAGAAAGAAAGAAAGAAAGAATCGTCTCTGGTTGAGAAAGAAAGAAAGAAAGAAAGAAAGAAAGAAAGAAAGAAAGAAGAGACAGGTCTCAAGAAAGAAAGAAAGAAAGAAAGAAAGAAAGAAAGAAAGAAAGAATGACACAGTCTCAAGAAAGAAAGAAAGAAAGAAAGAAAGAAAGAAAGAAAGAAAGAAACTTTTAGGCATTAGAAAGAAAGAAAGAAAGAAAGAAAGAAAGAAAGAAAGAAAGAACGGTTCTGTCCAGAGAAAGAAAGAAAGAAAGAAAGAAAGAAAGAAAGAAAGAAAGAAGTCATAATTAGATAGAAAGAAAGAAAGAAAGAAAGAAAGAAAGAAAGAAAGAAAGAAACCGAATGCATAAAGAAAGAAAGAAAGAAAGAAAGAAAGAAAGAAAGAAAGAAAGAAAATCAGATATGCTAGAAAGAAAGAAAGAAAGAAAGAAAGAAAGAAAGAAAGAAAGAATGACCTTTGTCCTAGAAAGAAAGAAAGAAAGAAAGAAAGAAAGAAAGAAAGAAAGAATTTTATCTTTGTAAGAAAGAAAGAAAGAAAGAAAGAAAGAAAGAAAGAAAGAAAGAATAGTTCCCAGCTTAGAAAGAAAGAAAGAAAGAAAGAAAGAAAGAAAGAAAGAAAGAACCAGCAGAGCCTGAGAAAGAAAGAAAGAAAGAAAGAAAGAAAGAAAGAAAGAAAGAACTGAAGGTATATCAGAAAGAAAGAAAGAAAGAAAGAAAGAAAGAAAGAAAGAAAGAAGGGAGTACCCCTGAGAAAGAAAGAAAGAAAGAAAGAAAGAAAGAAAGAAAGAAAGAAACAGATAAAAAGAAGAAAGAAAGAAAGAAAGAAAGAAAGAAAGAAAGAAAGAAAGAACCTGGTGAGGGCCAGAAAGAAAGAAAGAAAGAAAGAAAGAAAGAAAGAAAGAAAGAACAATGCTGGGCAAAGAAAGAAAGAAAGAAAGAAAGAAAGAAAGAAAGAAAGAAAGAATACAAAGGCTGAAAGAAAGAAAGAAAGAAAGAAAGAAAGAAAGAAAGAAAGAAAGAAATCCACCAGGATTAGAAAGAAAGAAAGAAAGAAAGAAAGAAAGAAAGAAAGAAAGAACCAATTCAGCTACAGAAAGAAAGAAAGAAAGAAAGAAAGAAAGAAAGAAAGAAAGAATGCACTCCAATGTAGAAAGAAAGAAAGAAAGAAAGAAAGAAAGAAAGAAAGAAAGAACAATTACATTAGGAGAAAGAAAGAAAGAAAGAAAGAAAGAAAGAAAGAAAGAAAGAAAGATTCCTTTTCTAGAAAGAAAGAAAGAAAGAAAGAAAGAAAGAAAGAAAGAAAGAAAACCGGGAGCTTAAGAAAGAAAGAAAGAAAGAAAGAAAGAAAGAAAGAAAGAAAGAATGATGTCAAAGCAAGAAAGAAAGAAAGAAAGAAAGAAAGAAAGAAAGAAAGAAAGAATTATCACATATTAAGAAAGAAAGAAAGAAAGAAAGAAAGAAAGAAAGAAAGAAAGAACAGCTGAAGTGTTAGAAAGAAAGAAAGAAAGAAAGAAAGAAAGAAAGAAAGAAAGAAAAATCAGAGAGAAAGAAAGAAAGAAAGAAAGAAAGAAAGAAAGAAAGAAAGAAAGAAAGAATGAAGGGCTAGAAAGAAAGAAAGAAAGAAAGAAAGAAAGAAAGAAAGAAAGAAAGGAATGAGTTCTAGAAAGAAAGAAAGAAAGAAAGAAAGAAAGAAAGAAAGAAAGAATGCCAGGGACATAAGAAAGAAAGAAAGAAAGAAAGAAAGAAAGAAAGAAAGAAAGAACCCTACTGTCCAGAGAAAGAAAGAAAGAAAGAAAGAAAGAAAGAAAGAAAGAAAGAATGACTTGAATCAGAGAAAGAAAGAAAGAAAGAAAGAAAGAAAGAAAGAAAGAAAGAAGTATATGTGGAACAGAAAGAAAGAAAGAAAGAAAGAAAGAAAGAAAGAAAGAAAGAAGGAAACTGAGAAGAGAAAGAAAGAAAGAAAGAAAGAAAGAAAGAAAGAAAGAAAGAAGTCACATGAACAGAGAAAGAAAGAAAGAAAGAAAGAAAGAAAGAAAGAAAGAAAGAAAAGGGAAAGGTAGAGAAAGAAAGAAAGAAAGAAAGAAAGAAAGAAAGAAAGAAAGAAGAGACCAGCTGCAAGAAAGAAAGAAAGAAAGAAAGAAAGAAAGAAAGAAAGAAAGAATTTTCCCTCAGAAAGAAAGAAAGAAAGAAAGAAAGAAAGAAAGAAAGAAAGAAAGAATGAAAAGGAAATTAGAAAGAAAGAAAGAAAGAAAGAAAGAAAGAAAGAAAGAAAGAACTGCTGTAACAAAAGAAAGAAAGAAAGAAAGAAAGAAAGAAAGAAAGAAAGAAAGAAGGAGGCTGGGAAGAGAAAGAAAGAAAGAAAGAAAGAAAGAAAGAAAGAAAGAAAGAACGTTTCTGGTGAGAGAAAGAAAGAAAGAAAGAAAGAAAGAAAGAAAGAAAGAAAGAATACATGATGGAGGAGAAAGAAAGAAAGAAAGAAAGAAAGAAAGAAAGAAAGAAAGAATCATAGGAGTGTCAGAAAGAAAGAAAGAAAGAAAGAAAGAAAGAAAGAAAGAAAGAAGCCTCTAAATGCCAGAAAGAAAGAAAGAAAGAAAGAAAGAAAGAAAGAAAGAAAGAAGGAGCACACAAATAGAAAGAAAGAAAGAAAGAAAGAAAGAAAGAAAGAAAGAAAGAACCCAGAACTTTGGAGAAAGAAAGAAAGAAAGAAAGAAAGAAAGAAAGAAAGAAAGAAACTGCCCAGCATGAGAAAGAAAGAAAGAAAGAAAGAAAGAAAGAAAGAAAGAAAGAAGGTGGTATGCGCCAGAAAGAAAGAAAGAAAGAAAGAAAGAAAGAAAGAAAGAAAGAAAACTCAGGAGGCAAGAAAGAAAGAAAGAAAGAAAGAAAGAAAGAAAGAAAGAAAGAATGACAGAGCAAGAAGAAAGAAAGAAAGAAAGAAAGAAAGAAAGAAAGAAAGAAAGAAGTCCAGGCACAGTAGAAAGAAAGAAAGAAAGAAAGAAAGAAAGAAAGAAAGAAAGAAGTGTCACCTGGGGAGAAAGAAAGAAAGAAAGAAAGAAAGAAAGAAAGAAAGAAAGAATCTACTAAAAATAAGAAAGAAAGAAAGAAAGAAAGAAAGAAAGAAAGAAAGAAAGAAACTTGGGAGGCTGAGAAAGAAAGAAAGAAAGAAAGAAAGAAAGAAAGAAAGAAAGAAGCCGAGATCTCACAGAAAGAAAGAAAGAAAGAAAGAAAGAAAGAAAGAAAGAAAGAAAAAAAAAGAAAGAAGAAAGAAAGAAAGAAAGAAAGAAAGAAAGAAAGAAAGAAAGAAGTGTAAATGACTAAGAAAGAAAGAAAGAAAGAAAGAAAGAAAGAAAGAAAGAAAGAAACAAGGCCAAACCAGAAAGAAAGAAAGAAAGAAAGAAAGAAAGAAAGAAAGAAAGAAAAGACGCACTCCTAGAAAGAAAGAAAGAAAGAAAGAAAGAAAGAAAGAAAGAAAGAAGATTCCCTGTAGGAGAAAGAAAGAAAGAAAGAAAGAAAGAAAGAAAGAAAGAAAGAATCAACTCAATTCTAGAAAGAAAGAAAGAAAGAAAGAAAGAAAGAAAGAAAGAAAGAAGCAGTTTGATGGCAGAAAGAAAGAAAGAAAGAAAGAAAGAAAGAAAGAAAGAAAGAACAATTCCCCCAATAGAAAGAAAGAAAGAAAGAAAGAAAGAAAGAAAGAAAGAAAGAACATACAAGACTAGAGAAAGAAAGAAAGAAAGAAAGAAAGAAAGAAAGAAAGAAAGAAGAGTGTGGTGATAAGAAAGAAAGAAAGAAAGAAAGAAAGAAAGAAAGAAAGAAAGAATGGTGAGATTTGAAGAAAGAAAGAAAGAAAGAAAGAAAGAAAGAAAGAAAGAAAGAAAGGAGAAAGCAAGAGAAAGAAAGAAAGAAAGAAAGAAAGAAAGAAAGAAAGAAAGAAACAAGGAAGGTTGAGAAAGAAAGAAAGAAAGAAAGAAAGAAAGAAAGAAAGAAAGAACTGCAAAGGCAAAAGAAAGAAAGAAAGAAAGAAAGAAAGAAAGAAAGAAAGAAAGAAGAATTACTGTAAAAGAAAGAAAGAAAGAAAGAAAGAAAGAAAGAAAGAAAGAAAGAAAATTTACAATTTTAGAAAGAAAGAAAGAAAGAAAGAAAGAAAGAAAGAAAGAAAGAATGTCATTCATGTTAGAAAGAAAGAAAGAAAGAAAGAAAGAAAGAAAGAAAGAAAGAAAGGCCCAGAGAGCAGAAAGAAAGAAAGAAAGAAAGAAAGAAAGAAAGAAAGAAAGAACTCAGCTTTTTAGAGAAAGAAAGAAAGAAAGAAAGAAAGAAAGAAAGAAAGAAAGAATGTCCAGGACAGTAGAAAGAAAGAAAGAAAGAAAGAAAGAAAGAAAGAAAGAAAGAAACTTATAAAAGCCAGAAAGAAAGAAAGAAAGAAAGAAAGAAAGAAAGAAAGAAAGAAATCCAAAGACTTAAGAAAGAAAGAAAGAAAGAAAGAAAGAAAGAAAGAAAGAAAGAAATGAAACCATCCCAGAAAGAAAGAAAGAAAGAAAGAAAGAAAGAAAGAAAGAAAGAATATCCACACTTTTAGAAAGAAAGAAAGAAAGAAAGAAAGAAAGAAAGAAAGAAAGAATTTCTTATTATGAAGAAAGAAAGAAAGAAAGAAAGAAAGAAAGAAAGAAAGAAAGAAGTGAATGAGTTTGAGAAAGAAAGAAAGAAAGAAAGAAAGAAAGAAAGAAAGAAAGAACTTGGACTATAAAAGAAAGAAAGAAAGAAAGAAAGAAAGAAAGAAAGAAAGAAAGAATGCTTGCTTATTAAGAAAGAAAGAAAGAAAGAAAGAAAGAAAGAAAGAAAGAAAGAACTACTGTGCTGGAAGAAAGAAAGAAAGAAAGAAAGAAAGAAAGAAAGAAAGAAAGAATCCAAATTGGAAAAGAAAGAAAGAAAGAAAGAAAGAAAGAAAGAAAGAAAGAAAGAATTTGGAAAAACCTAGAAAGAAAGAAAGAAAGAAAGAAAGAAAGAAAGAAAGAAAGAATAAGGTTGCAGGAAGAAAGAAAGAAAGAAAGAAAGAAAGAAAGAAAGAAAGAAAGAAAGAATATATAAGGAGAAAGAAAGAAAGAAAGAAAGAAAGAAAGAAAGAAAGAAAGAAAAAAGATCTGAATAGAAAGAAAGAAAGAAAGAAAGAAAGAAAGAAAGAAAGAAAGAAGAAAAGGTGCTCAAGAAAGAAAGAAAGAAAGAAAGAAAGAAAGAAAGAAAGAAAGAAAT